TTGGATGACCACCTTACTGGGGTCATTTGACCCCAGTGCTCTTCCTGCCATGGCAGGGGTTTGGACTAGATGATCTGCTCAGGTCCCTTCTGACCCTAGAAACTATGAAACTATGAAGGGCATGACTCCACAGTGGCACTGCTTGCCTGCAAAACCCCCCCACCCTGCATGCAGACGCCACTGTGGAGCCGTGCAGCTGGTTGTGGGGCATGCCACTGAATGCAAGCCCCCTGTTTCGCCCCCAGCTGGGCAGCACATATGTGGCCTGCGCACAATGATTGCCACCACACTGCTGCTGCCGCGCCCTGCACCACTTGCCCATAAAGCCATTCAGGTGGCTGTGGGATGGTAGCGCAGAGCACAGTGGCAGAGCTGCAATGGCAGCCTCCGTGTACAAACCTCCTGTCAGGCCAACTGGCCAGCACGCATGCAGCCCACAGAGTGGCACCCCTGCCCTCACCCCCTGGCCCTGCTCCTGGAAGTGGGCACAGGAGCATACTCACCCATTTCTTAAGCTACTACCCCAGCACCTTCCCTTCCCCCCACCCTGCACCACACCTTTCCCCACACACACTTACCTGCTGGGGTGGGTGTCAGTGTCTGTGGGTCTGGGGGGCTGTTGCGAAGGGCATCAGGAGGGCTGTTGAGGCTATGGGGGGAGGGCGGAAGTGTAGGGCACCAGCTGCACTGGGAAGGGTTGTGGGGTGCCTTTAATTTTTATCACCACCTCCTCTGTCTCTCACCTTCTCTGACCCTCACTGCCACACATTTGCATTTTCACTGACCTGCATTCTTGCATACTGTCTCCTGGCTTCATTCCCATCCAGGAAGAGCACAAAACAACTGTAGATGCTCTCTCTGCCTGAAGAAGGGTGTTTGTACCCGAACGCTTGCAAAAAAGATTTTTTCAGCTATTTTAGTTGCTCTAATAAAATATATCAGATTTACCCCTCTCATCCCCTCCCACTGCTTTTCTTTATTATGCTGCAGCTGGCTCATTGTGATCAGACCTAAGGAAGAATGTCTTGCATTCGAAAGCCTGTTTAATTGTATGCTAACTACACAATTGGTCCGATTAAAAAAAAAAAAAAGATATCAGTCTAAGAAATTTTTGCCCCTTGCATAATTTCTGGACCATCACAGCTACAACATTAACCTTCCACATGAATAGAAAGTGTGTTTTAATAGCAGGATTCATCTCCTGCAGATTGGGAGAGGGTGGGGGAAGGACAAAACAGGCCACACCTTGCTATCAGCAGCAGAGTTTAGCTCTGGGGCAGCCTGTGCAAAGGTTCACTTTTGAGCCCCAACATTTTCCTAGACTCTCACACTGAAGTTTAAGTGTAATTCAGGGAGGACACCTGACAACATTGGGATTCTGGGAAATCATGTGGTTTGCACTATCCTAATCCCTATTTGCTATCACAAATCTGTATGTGAAATTAATGTTCCATGTATTCTATCAAGCTGCCTCACCAATCTGGAGGAAGGACCAAGTATTGTACATACTTTAAGACTGCCTTATCCTATTCACCAGCCCTGCAGCACTAGTGGTCATTGCTGTTCCATCAATAGCAAAGACTCCATGAAACCAGGTGGCAAATACTTTATTTTACACTGTACTTACATGGATGAAAGCTACCCATGTACTTAGATAAAAACAGATTTAGAAAAAAGGTAACTTACTTTCACCTCATCACAAAATGAGAGAAGTCAAACCTGAATTTATGGTAAAAAATAGCTTAAAAGGTTTAACCCACCTCCATGCCCCAACCCCTGCTCCACCCAATGCCCCCTCCCGCAGAAAAAAATAAACAAAAAATCAACAAACAGTTCCCACTGTGACACCGAATTAATTCTTACCCATTGCTGCTGCTTGCTGTGTGCTGTGTGTCTGTGGATGCCATTGTGCAGCTTCAGTCTCAATCAGCTCATCTGCAAAGAAGAGGACATTAATCCTTAAATTTAATATCCAAGCATCCTAAATATTCCTTTATAAAACGTAGGACATGAATATTCAACTTCTGCAGGAACAGTCTACATTTTGCTTAAGACATAAGACAAGGGAAAGAACATTTTACTAGGAGACCCCAAGTGAGGCGGTGCCCTCTCCTACCTTGGGAGTCTTCAAGAGGAGGCTAGACAGATATCTGGCTGGGGTGATATGACTTTGGCACCCGTTCCTGCCTGGTGCAGGAGGCCTGATTTGATGATCTGTCTAGGTCCCTTCTGACCCTAAGCACTATGAAACTATGAATTTTTTAATCATGCAAGGGAAGCAGCAAAGACCAAATTGCAGTCTCCCTCCAATTTTCCAAGGAAGCACAATTAACCTAGAATCATGCTTCTAATGAGTCTTGTTAACATGAAGTGGAAGTTATAAAGGGAATGAACACCTATCTTTGTGTACATATCTGCCATTAAGTTTAGGTTGACAAGATCCCTTTGCATTTAGTATTCTAAAGTAGCGCTGGGCAACATTTTTGTGGCAGCAGGCTCAGGTCCAAGATAGGCCAGTACTAGGACCCAGCTGCTGCCATTGACACTTCTACTTGCAACCCAGTCATGACATGGGTAAGCCTCCTACCACCTGGCACAGGTGAAGCCCCCACCACTGTCCAAGCCATCTGCAGTGCAGCACTGTCAAAAATCTCCCAGGTCTGCAGGCCAAATCCAGTGCCTCTACAGACCCATAGGTTGCTGACCCATTGTCTAAAGTCTTCTTTTCACCCCATGGGCTCATTCTGTCTCTCTCACACACGCATCATTGTTTTCATTATATCACATAACTCCACAAAGACAGCACTTTCCATCCCCACACCAAACCTACACAGCAGTCTAAAAAACCTTCTGATTAGTTTTGTGCCATCACCAGCAATGACCACGTGCCAACAATGCTAGTAGGCTCATCAACCCTACAGCCTAGATGGCTTGCCTGGAGAAGATTATTATCATTTATTATATTCTGGCAGTTTGCCCAGTGATGTCTGTGGCCACTGCCTCAAGAAACTTAAGATGCAGGAGCCTGGTTCTGAAATAGGCTCATCAACACAGGGCTTAGTCTTGTAAGTAGTCCCACTGCGTTGCTTTTTTGGTTTTAAAGGAAACTGTCGCCGCAGTAAGCAATAGACATAGGTGCCAGGAGCAAGAAAACACTGGGTAATTGACTGTGTGGGACGTTAAGCCGCAGGGGCAGACAAATCTTCCTAGAGCCAGCATGTAATCGGCCAGTATCTGATGTCAATATTTATGCTAAGATCTTCTGTATTTCAAGGTCCAAAGTATTCAATGTTAGAGTTCTACACCTACGTGCCTGAAATATTCAAATCAATTTTTCAACTGAAATGAAACCCAGGGGAACACCACGAGTGATTCTCAACTTTTCTGGACTTGAGGCATCCCTCAATAATCTTGAGACACTCCGTGGAAAATGCCATCTCCCAGTTTTCACTCATTTTTTTGAATGCAGAACAAAGTTCTCAGTGGTGGCAAATGACAGAATACGGAGCAATGGTCTCAAGTTGCAACAAGAGAAGTTTAGGTTAGATATTAGGAAAAGGTTTCTCACTAGGAAGGTAGTAAAACACTGCAACAGGTCACCCAGAAAGGTTGTGGGATCTCCATTACGGCTGTGCGAAATTACTGTTTTGATTTGGTTTCAGATTCGGCCATTTCAGAGGACAGTGATTTGTTTCAGTGTTTCAAATCACTGACCTGTTTTGTTTCAGCCAAATCTGTTTCGGAGATTCGGCTCTGCTGAATCTGTTTCGAACGGTCTGTAAGGGAAGCTTTGCACAGCCCTACCTAGCCAGGCGGGGCTTGGGGCCAGGGGCGCCAGCAGGAAGCAGGACGGGACCATGGGTGGCTCGTTCAGGAGAGGGGGAGGGCCGCAGCCCTCCATTCAGGCAACGAGACCCCCATACAGATTCCTGATCCATGTCACGCCGGGTCGCAGGGCAGGGAAGCAGAGCGAAGTGGTGAGCAAGCCTGCTGATCCCTGCCGTATGACTCAACTCCACAGAGAGAAGAGATCCATGCTGTGGTCTCCTCGCTGCCAATGCCCCAGCAACGTGGGGCTATGCGGGGCAGACAACAGTGGCAAGGAGACCCCAGCGTGGATCTCTGCTCCCTGCAGAGCCAGGTCACATGGCAGGACAGTGCTAGTCCCTGCTGTGCGACATGGCTCCACAGGGAGCAGAGATCTGGGGCTGCATGGGGCGGACAGCAGTGGGGAGGAGACCACAGAATTTCTGCTCCCTGTAGAGCCAGGTCACGTGGCAGGGATACCCCAGCCTCTGGTTCAATTCCCCAACTCTCTGATCATTCCCCCAGCTCTTCCCAGGGGGCACAAGCCCCCTGATGTGCATGCGGGGTTTCAGCAGGCTGCCGCTGCAGGCTGGGGCCAGCAACAGCACCACAGTCTTCTTGGTGCTCAGCACAGGCTGTACCAAGCAGCTACTGCTGCCCCACGCTGCTGAAACCCTGCGCACAGATTGGGGGACTCGCACCCCCCAGGAAGAGCTGGGGAAGTGATCAGGGAGCTGGGGAATCAAAACAGGAGCTAGATGTCAGTATCAGAGCAATCCTTACCTCCTTCTTCTTAGTTTTTGTTTCCCTGCAAGTCTGGCTGCAAAACTCCAAAATTCTCCGACACATTTCAGAGCCTTGTTTCAATTCAGGTTCGGTGTTTCGGGCACCACAACAGCCCAGAACACCTCTGAAATAAAACAGCTGCCAAAATTTCACACAGCCCTAATCTCCATCCTTAAGACCTGGGTAGACAAAGCCTTGATTGGGATGACAGTTGAAATGGTCCTGCTTGGAGCAAGGGGTTGGACTAGACCTCCTGAAGTCCCTTCCAAACTTAATTATCCATGATCCTATGAATAGAGCAATTCTTCCATTGCAAAGAACTCAGAAAGACCACAACAAGTCAGAACATTTTAAACACTATAGATTCCTACTTGAAATCTTTGAGTTTATCTGATGAGTGATGTTTGCACACTTAACAGTACTAATATTTGAGTGGCACCCTGAAGCACCTTTGAAAGGATCTCAAGGCACCCTGGAATAGCATATGAATGGCGAAACAAAGGAGAGAAGCTACATGATCTTAAATACTCCTATGCCATCGCTACTACACACAGTAAAGGAATGGACAGCTCTTTGAAAATTACGTACTTTCCCTTCTCTTGTCCAGCTGGGGTGCCTAACTGGAGTGTACTTTCTCTTGTTCAGAACTATCAGCAGGAACAGTAGCCTGCCAGTCCAAGCTTCTCTTTTCTGCTCCCAGGACACTCAGCTCAACTTCACCATCATAGATAGGGAGCAGGAACAAAGTGGCAATGTGGAACATTCCCCTCAGAATATCAGATAGCCTTCTTATGAATAGAAACACCTGGGGAGAGAGAAAAACAACAACAATAAAGAAAAGTAAAATACAGGAAATACATAAAAAGAAAAGGATACAATATCCCATCACTGTTACCATGAGATGGACACAATGAGAAAGACACAAGCATCTTCCTCCCACATGCAATTTAAATGGGTGGCTATATAAAAGAACAATGCAAAAAGGATCATGAAAAAACCTTGAATCTGGATATGCCAGAAAGTCTCCCCTTTCTCTTATGCCCAAGTCTATGCAAATAGTTTTAACCTGGAATATATTTTCCTCCAATAGTGAATACTGCATAACTACTTGCATTCCCCAAACCTACCACACTTTCCTCATTGTCTCATTTTTCAAGAGTAAACCCATGCAAAACCTTCATAATTACTAGTAATTCTGTTGGAAGACGTTTTGCAAGAGTCTTTAAACTGATTCAGTAAAAAGCTGAGATGTGCTCTCAAGAAGCTGCTTTTGAGTAAGAGCAAAACAAAAGCAAAGACACAGAATGAATTAATACAAGTACAATTCACAAAGCTGAACAGAAGTACCAGGAAGAGAAAGAGAATGATTAAGTTTTGAAAATAAGTTCCAAGAGGAAAAACAGTCCTGAATCTTTATTTTTAGTATCCTACCCTACTGAGGCATAAAACAAATTTATGGCTTGAAGACATGCGGCAGCAGCGTTGGGTGAAGCAGTGGAGGCTCAGCTCACTCAGATGAAATTAAAAGAAATAGATGGTTTACTAGTTAGATAAGGGTCTGACCTCTAGGTCATCTGTTTAATTCCAGAACAGATCAATTATCATCACAGAGATGTTCAGTGAACTTAAATGAGCGTGTAGTGGATAATGTTCCCTTCAGATAACCATCACAGTTTCAACTGAAAAAAAGAAACTGGACAATCAGCTGAGCTGGAGATCACAGGGTGCTGACAAAAGAACTCAGAATGAATAGGACTTATCAGTATGCACCCCAGTCAGAGTTGAGGCCTAAGATATTTACCGGTTAAATAGTTGTGCACAGAAAGAATTCAGAAGTAGAAAAGACAGTCTAGTTTAACAATTAAAAGGACTGTAAATTAAATTCTTATGTAAAAACAAGTCAGGAAAAGTTCTAAGGAGATAACAGGAGAAGCTATGCAAGCTGCTACCCAATTGGTGTGGCAATCTGAAAACTAGTTGTACAGGCTCAAAAAAGGGTTCAGAAAAGTTTTCTCCACAAGCAGGGCATGGATCTTCAATACTATGGTACAGCAGTGTTAGAGTGATGCTGTAGCCTTGATGGTCCAGAAATTATGAGGGGTTTTGTGAGTAGTAACTTTTTTTGGACCAACTACATGGTTGGGGTGAATTCGAAAAACTTTCAGATGCAAACAAAACACATTTTTCAACCTGCCTTCAAAAGCTTGTCTAACTTTATCTCACGCATGCAGTTGGTCCAATAAAAGATATTGCTCAAAAAATCCTTGCCAACAATATATGCCATAAGTATGGCTTGGCAGAATTTTTTTTTAAATAATTTTGATGGATAACATCATTTTTTATTTTTAAGCATTTATTTAAATTTTTATCCATTTAAATTTTCAGGATTGTGCACAATTAGGGGTATGGAGGGTGTATGACTGCTGCCAGCTGAGTGGCAGAGCTGCTATCAGTCCCAACTCCACTTGCCCGCAGTTCCCTCATCCGCTTTGTCACTTCCTCTTCCTTTGTTCCCAGTCCCCTGGGTTCTCTGGGAGCTGCAGTCCAAACTAGTCAACCTCCTCCTCCTCCAAGCTTGTCAACTGGCTATCCAGGAAGGAGGCTCTGGCCGGGAAGGCTCCCAGCAACCTCCGGGCGTTTTTCCTTGGTGCCTTTGCGCGCATCTTGGGCGGAGTACCACTGGGCAGTGGGCACTGGGCTCCCTCAGTCTGCGAGCCGGTGGGCGCTGTCTGGGGTGCTCTGCTCAGTGTCCCCTGGGGGAGCACTAGTTTTGAACCTATGACCTGCACGAACACACCCTGTTTTCTCTTTTGTTGTCCCCCATAACTTATTGGTGTTTTTAAGGCGCTGGTCGCCCTACCCAGTGGCGGCTCCCCACTTACGGTTTTAGGCTTTTAACTTTTTAAAGCTTTTAGCCTTTTATATAAACTGCACGAAGAACATCGAGCGCCGGATGCCATTTCGACGACCCATCCGTGCAATTTTAGTTGATGTCATCACGGCGCTGGTCGCCACCACCAGAACAGCACCACGCAGCAGCGATGACGGCCAGGCTGGACCTGCCCCGCTAGGGGTACAACATTGGACTGTCTCTGGGCTCCCACAAGGGGTCCAGAGGACGTAGTGAACTCAGCTGCCAACTGCCGGCGACCCCCAGATCCAGCGGCACATCCGCGACCTGAGGACATCAATAGTCCAAACTAGTCAGCACACTTCTGCTCCCCCTGTCATCACACACTCAGTCAGCCATCATTTTTCTTACGTCCTCATTCTATAAATTTCAATTATTAATGATGGAAATATTTTCTGTTGGTCTGTGAGTGCAAGGCGATATCAAAGTTTATTGATAAAAATCTAATTTTACCAAGCCCACATATATATTGCACCATATTCATTACACTAACCAAGAAGCTTGCACAGCTGCTATCTTTGCTATACATACTCTACCGATATACATGGTGTTAGTCTTCATATCATGAAACCATGGCTGACTTCAATAAATCCTAAATTAATCCAGCATTCATTTAACAATGATTAACATTTTATATTTCCACAACTTACCACTACAGGCAACCCCCACTTAATGCTGTTCCGCTTAGCACTATTTTGCTATAATGCTCATTTTAAATTGATACCTGATTTCACTTAGCGCTCAGTGAGTTTCGTTATAAACACTTGTGGTTACCATCTTAGGTCATTAAAACAATTGTGGTTGCCATCTTGGGTCATCAAATACTTTCAGTTTCACTTAACACTTGGTTTTTCAGGACCCAATTAAGAGTGCTAAGCAGGGGTTGCCTGTAGTTGTAATCACGTTTCTCTCTTTTTGTTTTATATTTGGCAAGACATATTTCTAAGTAGAAACATACTATGATGCAGAGAGAAATCTGTAGGAGATTCTAGCTGAAAACCTTTATTCTTTTTTAAAAGTGACCACAAACACTCAAAAAGACTTTTTTTCTTTAATAATATCTTTCTTCATTAACTTTGAATGACATAGGTTTCTTCCTCTTCCCTCTGCATTTCAGAAATTCTGAGATGTCAGGAGTTTCAGTCAGAATCAAAGTCAGGAAGTAAACTCTCATTTAAGTGGTTTACTGCAATGTTTTCTATAAACCATATTCTCTTCAATGCTTCAAGAGTTTGGTTTTTTGAAAAACACAATCAACTTTAGTTGGGAAAAATATAACCAAATACTTACAGATGTTTATATTTCTATCCCTGCGAACAGTTAAGTTCCCACCCAATACTATTGCCAATAATTGGTATACAAAAACCAGCAGTTGCAAGAGAATGCTCTAAAAATGGGGCTTTTAAAAGTGCAAAGAGAAAAGTAAACAGCATGGTCTATAATGTTCCAATTGCTAGGGAGACTTTTATGGTGTGGCAGAAGGGGAAAGATTATAAATTGCTGCTTAGAAGAGATTTAAATGTTGACTGCTTGCTTTTAAATTCTAGCACACACAGGGTTTGAAAGCAATTAAAAGCCTGTGTTCTATAACACATGTTTCTAACACAGTTAAAGAGCTATGTCCCCAAGCTTATATGGGGAAACAGAGAGCTAGCGCTGAACACAGCTGCAGTGTGGCATGCACTAAGCCACTCTGCCAAAAATTTCCCTACCAGTAGAACCCACAACAGGAGTTCAAACATAGATCATACTCCAGGCAGCTGCAGCTATTTTTTAAGGCCATCACAACATCTAGCCCTGCAGAGCCAACTGGGGATTTAGCTGGGACAGAAAAATGCCCTGCAATGAAGCAGATTTGAAAACTTATTTTCCCACACAACTTTCCAGCGTACTTGGTTTTGATTTTGCCATAGCATAAGAAGTCACTTTTCAAGCTGTTTTACACAGCAGTGCAAACTTTTAACAGTTATAGAGAATTGTCTAACTAGTTGTATATATACACACACAAGATTCTTACAAATTACCATTCTGGTGATTTCTTGAAGTGTTGTGGGGTAACTATAGCAGTGGAAGAAATAGAAGCACCTATGTAGATTTTATGGGGTATCATTAACTCACTAAATCCAGTTTTTAAGTGTTGATGAGTCATCTCAAAAGTGCCCGGCACAAAAGTATCTCAAAAAGAAACTAAAAATAAATCTCTGGTGGCAGAATTGTTGGGAAGGAAGTTTAAGTCAGTACTGTTGGTGCACAGGCAGGAAAGTTCTGAACACTTGTTTAAGCTGATATCATAATGTGACTAAAGTAAATATTTAAGGATGCAAGGAAGTCCTAACACAACTGAAAGCTTTTTCAGAAACCACAGTTTTCTGAAGAGGAGCTTGCAGTCTAAATAGACAGGATAGAGATGGAAATCAGGGAACAGAATAGCAGGGGATAACACAGCAACAGGTCTGTAAAAGTTACTACAAACTGTTTTACAGGGTCAGGCTTTAGGAAGTAGAGATGAAGACAAGGGAAGGGTGACAGACATAGAAGAAAGATGGGAGAAAAGGCTGATTCATCAAGGCTTTAGAGAAGGGTTTAGGATCAGAACATACAGCCACTGAGCGCAGCCAACCTGGACTCCACTATCAATGCTGGTCCTGCCCACTGTTTCTGGTTGCAGTCAATGGATGCTACTTCCTAAATTGTTCCTACCAGATTCAATTCCTTTTGCCCCTGGGTTTAGAATTTCTCTCTCCTCCAATCCCACAAGAGGTAGCAGAGGGGTGGTAATGACTGATCCCAGTGCTCCTATCTGTGATGGTAGCTACAGGAAGTAGTATTCCCAGCTGGATCCCATCTTCCCTCTCCCTCCTCAGTTTTTCAATGACTAGTGCTCCTGGGAGCTA